GAATATATATATATATATAATATCATACATATATAATATATATATAATTTATATATAACGTATTTATATAACATATATATTATATATATAATAACCGTATATATATATAACACATTTATATATTATATATGTATATATAACGTATTTATATATAATTTAGAATATATATATATATATATATATTATTTGACAGTAATGACATAATAGTAAATTCAGTGATAAAGTAATGGCATAATGGTAAATTCAGTGATAAAATAAGTATAATGGCATAATGGTAAATAAAGTAAGTGTATAATGGTAAATTTGACGAAAAAAAGTAACACCGTCAGTAGTAAAGTGACGGTGTTAACATCAAAGGGAGAGTGTGCAGGGAGATATATAATAGGAGGGAGTTTGACGCAATTTTTAAATTACGAGGGGAAAACGCGCAGATTTAGTATATTACAGGGGGGTTTGGTGCAATTTACCCAATAAATTCCAAAAAAAATCTTTTGTATCCATATATCATTTATAAATGTTATATACTCAAAAACACAATACCTTTTAACAAAAAATAATTTGTAATAACTGATTATATTGTTAATATTATTTTAAAAAATAAAATTATTCAAATTAATCTAACTAAATGTAGTGTAAGGTATAAGTTAAAAATAGTATCATATAAGACGAGTGATATAAGCAACAAGTGTCATTTTAAACATAAATAGTAATATAGTGTCCTTTTACATATGAATACTAATATAATTTTGTAAAAAAAAGGTATTTAAAATTTAAAATAAACTTTTTTATTATTTTTAAATTTTAAGTATAAATTTTTTAACAATCACCTTGTAATACACGATAATTGTTGGATAGAAAGAAAAAAAAAAAAAAAAAAGCAAGGAAAGAAAAAATTATAAAATCGTGACAAAGCCATGAACGGTGAACTAACAAAATATCATCATCTCAGCAATCCTTTTTCCTCCCACCTACACGCACATTTTTCTCACTCAATCTATTAATTAAAATCTATTTTAATTATTATTATTATTGAATTTTTTTTCTTTTATCAAAAACTAATGAAGTCTTTTTTTTTCAGTCACCTAGCCACGGTGGATACATGTTAATATGTCATTGTTTATGTGACATGCACACACTGATTGACGTATTTTTTTAACATATCAACATCACCAACGTGTGCACGCCAGATAAACGATGACATATTAACATGTGGTCAGTAGTCGAGCATATCTCGTCTTTTTGTATGCATCACATGAATATATGGCGGCTTGATATTGGACTCTTTAATTTCCGGTTCCCAATTTGTTTGGCTCATAAATTGCTCCGCCACTTTCTTGTCGTGATCGCCAAGAGGACGAACCCAAGAGAATCAATCACAGACGATCCCTTTAAATTCCTCCCCAAATTTCTCCTTGCCTCGAGTGTTTTTATTGATTGCCACAAGTCATCGCATTTCTCCGCGTATTGCCGGCGACGACGTGCTCCTCGCGTTTCAGGTATTCCGTTAATCGATAATTTCTGCATCGCCGGCAAAATTCTGTGGTTCAATTGAAAAAAATTAACGTGCTGATGAATATGTTGATCATTTTGGTACCTTTTGGGTCTAATTGTTCGCGTGTGTAGGCAAGAGAATGGGGAAGAAAAGGAATCAAGGGAATCGTGGGGCTGCTGTATCATCATCCGAGTTGAACGACGATCGGACGGTGTTGCTGTCGCCAAAGGGGGAAGGGAACGGAAAAAGATTGTGGAAGAAGGTGAAGTACCAGCTGGTGGAGTACAACTCGTTGCCTGGGTATTTGAAGGATAACGAGTACATTCTTGCTCACTATAGGTCTGAGTGGCCTTTGAAGCAGATCTTGCTTAGCGTTTTCACCATTCACAACGAGACGCTCAATGTTTGGACGTAAGGATTTTCATCACTGCTTTCTGCGTGTTTGATGTTTCTTCCCCTCCTTGATAGAGTCGTATTTTATTCGTCGTTTTATTGCATTGCGATTTTGGTAATTTTATATGACATTCATGGACAGTCTTTAATTTTTCTCGATGAAGATTTTATTTTATTGATTTGGGTTATTAAGCTTCAATTGTTCTTGCCTACGATTATGACGAAATTCTAGTTTCGAACTTGATGGAATAGCAGAATCAATATATGCATAGATGTTTAATTGTTTATATCAAAAGGAAGGACTGGAGTGTAATAGTTTCAAGCTGAATTTCTAAGTTCACTGCCTTCGAAAGCTTTGCAGATGCCACGCCTCCAATATCCGGCAAACACCCGAGTGTCCTTATGTTATATCTCCAATATTTGTAGACTTAACAGCATTATATGATCTTTGGGACTTTGGTCAGAGAGGTATTGCTGGGATAGAGCTGGAGTTTCATAGTTCATTAATATGTTTAGGCTTTAAAATTCTGTTCTGGCTCTATTTCACATCGCTGAGGCTCATTCTTCTGTACTATAAGCTCCCAGAGTTCCATCCGTATAGCTTTGTGCTGAGTCAATTCTTGATATTATTTTCCTCGCAATCACATGCACCAAAAGGTCATGACGAGTCACAGCAGATGGTTCCATGGATTGTAACTATAAAATATATACTGACCATGTATAAAGCCTTTTCATATTTTCCTTTTCTTTGTTTTTATGATGTTGAGAATTAAACAGTGATAGTCCATCACATATAGTATATGTGAAATAAACTTGCCCAAGGTTCACACTTATACGGCCTTTTCATATAATATATGAAATAGTTGGGAGTTCGTATCTGTGGTATGCTGAGTCCATGTTGGAGTATCTTTCGAAGTGTGTACCTGAAACTTCGCTACCATGCTTTATTTTGATTGCTGCATATTTATTGTTTATACTTTGGTGGTTATGATGCCAATTTATTTTCTCAATGTGGTTATATATATTTTCAAGTTTCATGACATTGATCCACAGTTTTGTTTGCTCCGCAGGCATTTGATTGGGTTCTTTCTTTTCCTCTCTTTAACCATTTACACCGCCATGAAAGTTCCGAATGTCGTGGACCTTCCTAGACTTCAAAATTTCCCTAACGTTCTTAGAAAAGCTGATTTTCAGAAGTTGCACACAGATCTTGTTACATGCCTCCCATCCTTGCCTCACATGCCCGATATGCATAAGCTACGAGAGGAATTAAGGACTTCATTCCATTCAGTGGAATTGCTGCCATCCTTGTCTAGTTGGCACATTAAGCAACTCTTGTCAAATTGTTTGCCAGAAAGTCTTTTCCACAGCAACCACACTGATCCTTGTGTTCTGGTGCACTCTTCTTCTTCTTCTTTTTTTTTTTTTTT